AGGACTGAAAATCACTAGTTTAATACTTAGCTGTCAGATTTTTAAAAATAGAAATAATATATGAGATTCAATGAAATACTTTATGAAAATGGTTAGCCCAGACCCTGGCCCACCCAGCTCAATAATGCTGGTTGCTGCTGTTAAGGCAGCAGATACAGAGGGATTGCTGTCTAGAGTTGGGACTGGCAATCTGGAGTCACAGCAAAACTGGCTGAGGTGGCCCCTCACTGCCGATCTTACTACCCTGCTGCATCAGATGAGTTACTAGCCTAACTGGAGCCCTCAAGAGAGTCTGACCCCAGCTCTGTAATCCTGGGAGTTAATCTGAACCCTGGTTCCTTAATCCTGAGAGTCTGACCCTAGCTTTTTAATTCTGGAGTAAAGTCTGAACTCTAGCCTCTTAATTCTGGAGGAGAGTCTGAACCTTAGCTTCTTATTCCTGGAAGTGTCTGAACCCCGGCTCCACAGTCCTGAAAGAGATTCTGAACCCTCACTCCTTAATCCTGGGACAGAATCTGAACACTAGCTCCTTAGCACTGGGAAAGAGTCTAAACTCCTTATTCCGGGGAGACAGTCTGAACCCTATCTCTGTAATCCTGGGCAAACTCCTGAACCAGATGAATCTTAGAGGAAAGGAAAATAAACAATCCTAGATAAATAAATAAATGGGAGCTTGGGGGAGCACTAACCTGACATAGTAGACAATAAACAACAAAAATGGCAGGAAATTGAACTGTGTATTTGGGTAAAATGTGACTGAGAAGCTTACAGTGCACCAGTTTCCAATCATGGAGTGAACGAGGGGAAATGGTACAAATAGAAGATAAAGCTCAAAGTAACATTCATGGTAGACTGGAAGTTGGAGAAGCCTGAGGCAAATAAGTCAGCTTGGAGAACAGTGATGCAATCTGGAAGTGGCAGAATGAGGAGCTGGTGAGTACACAGTTGAACCCATCAAGGTTGTGGTTCCTTTATCTAACCTGTCCGATCTAATCTGTGGCAGATCATCCTGAAGAGCCCATTAACCTCTGATATTCTGATATTTAACAATTAAGAGTAGTTAGAAAGACATTGTTTAATGGGTAGAGTTTCAGTTTGGGATGATGGTAAAGTTCTGGAAATGGGTAGTGGTAATGGTTGGACACAATGTAAATGTACCTAACATCACTGATTCAAACACACACAAAAGGTAGATGGAAAAAATATACACACAATGCATTTCAAAATTAAAATACGGCATATGGGGTGGCTCACAGGATGTAGGTGATGAAGGAAAAGAACTGATCAAAGAAAACCATGTGGACTCAGGCCTGGGTGCCCAGGGACAGCACTTTTAGAAAACAGGAAATAAAGTAGGGCATCTTGTTTGGTGGGGGAAAATGATTGCTGTGGTAGACATTTTGCATTTCTGGGCTGTTAGCGCACATAAGGAAAAATTATTGATCCTTAGTAGATAGAAATGAAGATCAGGGCTTGGGTGACAAATCAGAGTGATTTTATAAATTCAGGAATTCACACTGATGTTACAAGATGGGATTCTAGAGTTGAAGTACTTCACTTCCTTCCTGAAGAACTTCCTGACTATGAAGGAAGTGACCTCCTCATATACTCAGTTCATCTCACTCCACCCCACCATATTTTTAAAAAATAGATGAAGAAACCTTAGGGAAGCAAGGTGGCCCATACAAGGTCATCTAGAGAGTGAACTAGATCTCCTGAAATCCAACCCATTGGCCCTTCTATTTCACTTTATTTATTCGGGAGTCATCACCTAGATTTGCCAAGTGCATACAGTCCTGGGGAAAGACTACAGAGGGAAATGATGAGAGAGGTCACAAATCCTCCACAGGACAGCCACAATCAAGAGATTATGAGGGATAAGAAAAGATGAGAGGTCCTTGTCAGTCTATGGAAAACTAGGAGAGAAAATGTCAAGAAGAGAGTAATCTTAGAAGCTCGAAGTGAAATCTTGGAAAGGAAACACCTCTTTGATTTCTATTAACCCTCTGCATTATCTGATGCCCTCATCATACAAGACTAATCCTCTCTAAGAAACCATCCCAAACAGTGACAGCACCTCTGCTTTAGGACCCCACAGCACTCATACAACCTTGACTTCAATAATGCTGTGGTCATGTTCTTGGAGATGGCAGCTTTATTTAAAACAATATTATTTGAAGACAAATTTCCCATAGAAATATTGGTATAACTTTGGGTCTTGTTCCCAGAGAATCCCCAAATGACCTACCATAAAATGTGGTACAAAAAGTTAAAATAACTTATCAAAACTTACTTAAATAACTTACTCAAAATAAATAAGACCCAAATATAGTCAATGACACCAAGACTTAGTTTTTAGGTACAGTGGCGTAGTAGAAAGAATGCAAGATTTGGAACCAAATGGGGTCTTTCTCGAGGATGGCAGAGGTTGAGCCATACTCTGTTTCTAAGGATTTTCTACTTTTATGATTAGTTATACCACAGGGACATTGATTTATCTGGCTTCTTAACATGCTCTTGAGGATTCCAGCCCACCCAGATTTTAGTTTCCAATAGAAATGAGTAAAACCACTAGTCAGGAATGGCAACTACTTTTCAAGAAAGTCCAGAAAAGTTGATGATGGATACTTTAGCTGCCAAACCATTGGTGGACTGCCCTGTTTTTGTGCTGTGTCTGCTCATGATCTAAGGTTGTAGCAGAGAAACTGTTCATTGCATTCTAAGGGAGTTGGGGGAGACAGCCGTCTGTTGAAAAAAAAAATGTTCCTTGTATGTCTGGTGGGAATGCTGAATTTTATATCTTATTTGGTAGTCTGTATTCCTAAAATTCTCTAAATACTTGAACAATGTATTTTCCTGGTCATCTAAAAGACATGATCAGTGTCTTTTAAAAACTTGCTAGTTTCTCTCTGTAAAGACAAATTATGAACCTAGAGGACATCATGCAATCAGACCTATGAAAGTCTTGACCCTCCTTTGACAACCAAAAGAATGCTCCATTCTACCCAAAAGGGCATGGCAGATGTGCATAAATAATCAAATTTTCATCAGAAATGTCATTGTGACAACCAGTTAAAAGGATTAAGGGAATAAAAACTGGGAAATGAGAATGCAGTCATAGTGCTTATTAAATGTTAATTTACTTTTGTTATCCCTGAAACGCTTTTCTCTATTTCAAGAACATGGCCTGATTCTTAATAGTTTCTTCCAGGCCAGAAAGCAAGAACTGCTTGATAGGTATGGTGCTTCCTGTCTTCCCAGAAGGAGCAATGCAAGGTGAAAACGCACCTGTGGAGGCAGAGGGAAGCCTATGGAGCAAGGAGAGACAAGAAGCGTAAGTAGCTGAAGTTACTGTGACGGCAAGAAGTTAGCAGGGGACTCAAAGATCTCACAGGAAGTGGGGCTCCACATTCTTTTCTCTCTGAGACAGGGCCCCATGCAGTGGGGATGGCAGTGCCTGCAACTTGGGCTCAGGAACATGCTGCCTCACCACGACTCCCAGTGCATGCAACTGATTTAGGCTGGCAGTGGGCAGCTCAGAGTAACAAGTGTAGACAAGGCCAGTTACTAAAAGCATCTTCCTAGGTAAGCTTTCCTTTCCTTTACCTGCTTCCCTGTTTCCCTGGGGAGCAAGGGAAGGTTTCTTGACCTCAGGCTACTTTCTTGTTGGCCATGCAGGACACACTAAAAATACAAACCTATACTCTGACCATTTTGCAGTTCTGACTCTCAGCATTACAGAATCTTAGGGTTGAAAAGAAATGTAATCATCATCCATTCTCTTCTAATATGAAGGAAAATTGTTTTTCTGTTCGTGGTGTGTTTTAATATCTTATTATTTTATTATAAATATGATTAACTTAATAAACACATACAAGTTTACAACGTTTATCTCTTCTTACATCTGATTGCTTTTGGGCCCACATTGCATCTGTGAATTGATAGAATTAACAGACAAAAACCCACAGAAAAGGGATGATATTGAAAAGATAATGAGGAAAGAACTGAGGTGGGGTGAGCAGGTCTTCTCAGGGGCCTTGAGTTCTTACAGGAAAGTTGTATCCAGCTTCAGCTTGGCATCAACAAACCATATGACCTTGAAAGAACCATTACTCCCCTCTGCGCTGCAATGTTCTTATTTTTAAAAAGAGCATAGTGCAAAATATCTACCAATTCTTCTCTAACTCTATTGGCCTGCGATTCTGAACCTCACCCTGATAATGTGGACTCCCAGGAAGCATATTAGCATTCAAAAGAGGCTTTCAGGATTTCTCAGTTTAACACCAGTCAGAATTGTGTTCAGAGGCAAAGATATATTTAGCAGGTAGGCCTTTTGTCTCCTTTAATCATAATATTATGCTAGGCTGACCAGAGTTTATTCTTCACTAGACATAGATATAAAACAGATTATACCATTGCTAAAATAAGGTGTTATTAAAATGAGAAATTTCTGCAAATTATTTGGAAAAGTGGGGGGAGACATAATTTTAACGTATTATAGTCTGTTTTATAGAAGACTTTATAGATTGCCTCTATGTTTTTATTATAATGCATGCAAAATATAGGTTCTTTCTTTTTCAAACGAAAGTATTTTGTACCTTGATATTCTTCTAAAAAGATATACAAAAGCTTTCTATGGCTAACTTCTTTCTGCTATTGTTTATCAGTTATGTTTCTAAGGGTCCTTTAGCCTAAATATCTACTTTCTTACTTATTTACTGGAACAATATGGGGAAGAGAGAATGGGAATTGAAAAAAAACGAGGAGAGAGATCCTTAATTTCTGTTTCATAGCTGAATCACTGAATTTCTAGAATCCTAGTGATTCTCTATTTCATTAGAGATGGGGATTCATATACCATATTCAGTAGTTCGAATTGTCAGGCCAGGCACCGTGGCTCACATCTATAATCCCAGCACGTTGGGAGGCTGAGGCGGGCAGATTGCTTTTGACCAGGATTTTGAGACCAGCATGGGCAAAATGGTGCCTGTAGTCCCAGCTACTCAGGAGACTGAGTTGCGAGAATGACTTGAATCTGGGAAGTCGAGGCTGCAGTGAGCCATGACTGCACCACTGCATTCCAGCCTGGGTGTGTCTCAAGGGAAAGAAAATTGTGCAACTTTAAGTTGTTTCTATCAACAAAGAAGATGTCCAGAAATACTATCATTGGTGCTGTGTTTATAAATGCAAATCTCATTACCCTGGTGGTCCATTGATAGCTTAAGAGGAAATAAAATGTAATTTTCTGATTATCTATTACCAGATCCTATGAAAATTACAGTCTAATAGAATTCTCCCAAAATGTCACCTGCATTTGAGAGTTTGCATACCCAGAAGCCTTTCTACCTAACTAAAACTCTGACTCAGTATATCACAAACTATTTGACAACTTTATGCAACTAGTCATTCGTTAGACGAAAAATTTACATAAAACTGAGCAACCAACAGGTAATCTGTTATCTCTTAATGAAAAGCATCTAAAATTATCAACAACTTAAGCTTTAATCTATTTGCAAATGCCTCCCCTAAGAAAAGGTAAAAGTCCAATCTCAATATGCTACATGCCACATTAAGCATAGAAACACGAGACAAATATATGAAAGACTTCTGTCATGAGAGGAAAACAAAATGAAAATGATGATATGCTGGTAGTCTTTGCTTCAAACAGAACTTCCGAAACATGGCAAGTTTCCTGGTGACCGTTTTCCGCTATCTGTGTGCTGCCAAACCAACACACACCTCTTCTTTTTCCCCACCCATTCCCGAGGTCGTTAACCTTCTCAGTGCTGACAGCGAAGACTCCTTAAAACAAGGTTGACAAGATGTGAAAACTTTCCACATACAGCCTGCCAAATGTCTAAACTGGATGTATCACTTTTCAAGCCCACCAAGCTAGAGGAACATTTTGGCACTGGTGAAATGTTAGTATTCTCCTTCTATTAAAGCGTGTGTGTGTGTGTGTGTGTGTGTGTGTGTGTGTTGTGTATGTGCCTGTGCATGTACCACCCCCCACACACATCTACACACTCCGTTTGTTAAAAATTCTCTTTTTTTCTCCAATCCACTCCCACTCCATTCACATACACCCACACTCATAGTCATTCTACATGACTATTACATCATAAAACGATGTCTCAGGGATCTAGTACAGTATAATCCATCAGGTGGTCTAGGTAGTTAATCACAATTATTTCTTTATGCTATAAAGGCAAATGGCTTTTATCACCTGTTTTCTTTCTCCTTGCAGCACAAGCTCCTCTTCAGGTCTAAATGGCCTGGTTGTCTCCACATGCTTTTGCACTAGCTCATCCTGCCTGGCACAAAACCCTCACAGCTGTGCCATATGTCACACACGATTAACATTGAGCTCCCAGTTACACACTGAAATGCTGTCTTTACAACTCCTAGATGCCTCCCTGCTGGCTGCCCAGCATCTTGACGGACACACAGTTTGGAAGATCACCCTCATAAATTCTCCTTCCCCAACCAGGCTGGCAGAAGGCACACTGGTTACGATGATGCTTACCACTGAGGATAAACTGAAATATCTTGGGTAGGAAACTCCCTCTATCTTCTCACACTGCAACTATTTGTTGCAATCTGGATTTTCAACACACTTTTTTGAATCCAGAGGCATAAGCAAAGACGTATTTTCAAAGATTTAGAGATAACTAATTAAAACCTACAGAGTTGCTTGGATAACGATTCAATATTAGATTAACTCAAGTCATGATTTTAACCTGTCTGCCTCCATCTCTGTGTTACTGTGCCAAACTACCATCGTTTTACGATTACTAAAGAATAACAATAATAGTTTGAAATTAAATATTTGTTGTCTTGGCAGGCTCCAAATGACATCAGCTGATTTTATTCCCCAAGTGGCTATTGCAGGCCTACCACAAGTGATGGACACTCTGCCACATGTGGTGGATGCAACAGTAAGTAAGGAGATAGACAAATAAACACATGGCTGCAATACAGTGTGATAAAGACAATGCCAAAGGGACTTTGAAAGCATACAGAAAGGTATTGGACCCTAAATAGAAGGCTCAAGGAGGACTTCCGGAAGGAGGGTAATGCTGGAACCAAATCTTAAAAGGATTGAGTTATAGGGAAGAGAAATAGGAATAGTGATAAGAAAGGGGTTTGTGAGAGAGATTCTGGGATACTTGATCTGGATGATGGGTACACAAACATGTTCGTGGTGTTATGATTCATTATACTTACAATTTGTGTACTTTTCTGAATGTATTTTGTATTTAAGATAATTTTTAAAGAAAATCACTGGAGTATATTACAGAGTTGAATACTTATCAGAATCTTGTGAAATAGTTACAATAATCTTCATTTTAAGGATGAGAAAACTAGACTCATTCTGAACGCGAGTGATGTGTCAGTTCTGTGATGGTGCTGAGGTTTTGGTGTTAGGTACATCAGGCAAGGTTCCTACTAGCATGATCTTCACACTCTAGTTGCAATTGAATATTTTGTCCCAGGTCACAATTTCAATAAGAAGCGGAACTGGATTCCAAACTAACTACGGCTGATTTCAGAGCCCCTGCCTTTTCTCAGCATACTGCCAGATTTAGTCCTGTTGTCAGAGTCTGTAGAAGCCTTTGAAGAAATTCAGTAGCAGAAAAATGAGCAAATCTACAGTTTAGCATAATTACTGTCAGCAATGTGGAAAAAAGATGCAATATAGAAAAGTTCTTTACATTTGTGGTCAATTGACTTTCAATAAAGGTGACAAGCTAATTAAATGGGGGAAAAGAATGGTTTCTTCAACAAAGTCAATTGGGAGAACTAGAGATCCACATGCAAAAGAAATAAGTTGGACCCCTATCTCACCATACAGAAAATGTAACTCAGAATGGATCACAGACCTAAATTAAAAGCTAAAATTATAAAACTCTTAGAAGGAAACATATGGATAAATTTTCAAGACCTTGGATTAGGTAATGGTTTGTTAGATATGACAGCAAAAGCATAAACAACCAAGAAAAAAAATAAATGAATTGAACTTCTAATATGACTTGGCTGTGTCCCTACCCAAATCCTATCTTGAACTGTAACTCCCACATGGTTGTGGGAGGAACCCAGTGAGAGATGATTGAATTATGCGGGCAGGTCTTTCCAGCATTGTTCTCATGGTAGTGAATGAGTCTCACCAGATTTGATGGTTTTAAAAACAGGAGTTTCTCTGTTCAGGCTCTCTCTTTGCCTGTTGCCATCCGTGTAAGAGGTGACTTGCTCCTCCTTGCCTTCTGCCATGATTGTGAGGCCTCCCCAACCACGTGGAACTGTGAGTCCAGTTAAACCTCTTTCTCTTGTAAATTGCCCAGTCTTGGGTATGTCTTTATCAACAGTGTGAAAATGGACTAATACAACTTTCATTAAATTCTTTTTGTTTTTTAACAGCAAGAGATGGGATTTGCCTTGAGAATGTGAAATATTTTCCTCTCCTAGCAATACCAAACTGGGTGAATGAGTCACTCCAACAAATTAATAAGAAAATAGAAAATTATATTTCCTATCTTACCCTCAACAGTAGTTTCTGGCATTGGACACTAAGAATTTCCCTTAACATACTCAAAGGAAAGAAAAAAAACTTCAGACCAAAAAACTAATTTTTAAAAGAAGAGGAAATATTTGAACTTAAAAGTTTCCTTTTGAATTGCAAAGGAGTCAAGTATGCCTTGTCTCAAAATGGCTTTCCATTTTTTTCTCTCAAAAAAATCATCTTGAACACTCAGAAATTCCAATTTAAACAATGACTTTTTAAAAACACCTGTTCAAATATGACCTTATTTTTATATACTCACATACTATATCACATATAACAGGCATGTTCAGTTGGACCTCATCAAAATTCAAAACTTTTATGCATCAAAGCACATTTCCAACAAAGTAAAAAGAGAGCCCACAGAACAGAAGAAAGTATTTGCAAATCATATGCCTGATGCAGGCCTAGCATCCAGAATATATGAAGAAGTACCACAGTACTACAATAAAATGACAAGAATTGGGCAAAACATTTGAATAGATATTTTTTCAAATATATAGAAGTGGCTGCTGGACATGGTGGTGCACACCCATAATCCTAGCACTTTGGAAGGCTGAAAAGGGTGGATCACGAGGTCAAGAGATCAAGACTATCCTGGCTAACGTGGTGAAACCCTGTTTCTACTAAAAATACAAAAATTAGCCAGGAATGGTGGCGAACACTTGTAGTCCCAGCTACTCGGGAGGCTGAGGCAGGAGAATCACTTGAACCCGGGATGCAGAGGTTGCAGTGAGCTGAGATGGTGCCACTACACTCCATACTGGAGACAGAGCAAAAACTCTGTCTCAAATAAATAAATAAATAATATAATAAGCATGTAAAAAGATGCTCAACATCATTAATTATTAGGAAAATGCAAATCAAAACCACAATGAAATACCATTTCATACCAAGTAGAATGGCTAAAATAACAGACAATAAGAAGTCTTGACAAGAATGTGAGCAAATTGGAAACTTCATACATTGCTGGTAGGAATGTAAAACTGTGCAGTTACTGTGAAAAACAATTTGTCAGTTTTTCTTTTTTTTAATTACATGACTGCATTTATATCTAATGTCCAGCATATGTAAATCCAGAGATATGAAATAGACTAGTGGCTGCCAGGGGCTAGAAGGGAGGGGGTGTCTGCTAATGGCTACAGGGATGCTTCCCGGGGTGACGGCAATGTTCTAAAATTATGCTGCATTGATGTCTGTACAACTCTGCAAATTTACTAAAATTCATTGAACCTATACATTTACAATAGGGAAATTTTATGATATGTAAATTATACCTCAGTAAAGCTGTTTATTTTTAGAAGTTATCTGAGATCTCTGAAGGAAAGGTGATCTATGTATGTGTGTATAAATAATAAAGACAATATATATTACATTGTTATTATATAATCAGAAAACTAGACTACTTCCAATTTTTAAAAGAACAAAATCTCTTCATTTGCTCTGGGATCTGTGAGGATTTTAAATAAGTGTATTTCCTCTAATGTCAAAAGCATAATAGCATAATATAAGTGAGTAAGAGGCACACAGAATAGCTTTCTAATTCATATTATACCCAAACAATAAATTGTATTGAATCAAGTCATATTTGTACACAACATGATTTTCAGCCAGTTTGTGATGAAAACTGAAATGCATAAAATGGGTCCTGTTATAATCACAACTCAATCTAGAAGACGAAATATGCTAGAATATCTAGTTAATAGGAGTTAAGAATTTTAATACCTGAAGCCAGCTTTTCCTAAGTGGATTTTAAATTCAATGTAAGTGGATTAAGAAATTCAATCTTCTGTTGTCACACATGACAAAAAGCTTGAAAAGTGATGGTAAAATATATTTTTAAAATTGAGACTGACCACAGAAGCTCATGTTGGTAATCCCAGCACTTTGGGAGGTCAAGGTATTTGGATCATCTGAGCCCAGGAGTTTAAGACCAGCCTGGACAACATGGTGAAACTCCATCTCAACAAAAAGTACAGAAATTAGCCAGGTGTGGAGGTACACACGTATAGTCCCAGCTACTCAGGAGGCTGAGGTGGGAGGATTCCCTGAGCCTGGGGTCATTGAAGTTACAGTGAGACCTAGTCCCAAAAAAACAAAAACCAACCTGCTCTGCCCAGTTGTATAGCTTCTTCCACATAGAATTAGTACCAGCACCGCTGAAAAGAAGACGTATGTAACTCATCCTCTATAATTTCATCTAATTTCTATGAATATATTCCTTTATTTTGGACTGAATGGCGTTATTATAAAATCAGAATTTTGTGGGTTTATTTTCCAATGTTCTTCAAAAAACCACAAAAACTTGGGCCATTTATGCTTAGCATAAATCACACTAGTAGATTCAGATCAATGAAAACGATAAATAGCTAACAAATTTCACCACGAGGCTGTCATTTCTCATTCTAAGAGGAAGGAGGAATCCATAGAAACAGCAAAAGTCCGGCGCCCTGATCTGCCAGTGATTAACTGACCCTTCTTGCCCCAGCGTAATAAACTCTTGACTCTACCATCTGGTGCTCACCCACCATCTGTGTTTCCTGTTGCTGCTGCTGCAGAGGCTCTCCAGGATGTACCACGTGGTGTATCTATTAATGAGTGATGGCTATATAGGTTGTTTCTACTTTTTAACTATTATTGGAGTTATGAACATGCATGTATAAGTTTTTTGGTGTGGACACAGTTTAAAATTTTTTTGTATATATCTAGAAATGGAATTGCTGTGCCACACTAAACTCCATGTTTAAATGGACTCCATGTTGAACTCCACGTTTAACTTTGTAGGAAATGTTCACAAGGTCACATATCATACAAGGCAGTTACTAAGGAAGGCAAATTTTCCTATTTGCCTATTCTGTACATTTTATGTAAATAGAATAATCTGATATATGGCCTTTTATGTCTGGTTCAGAGATAGAAAGTAAGTTAGTGGTTGCTAGGGGCTGGGTAATGGAGGGCATGGGGAATTGGTGCAGGGGATCTTTTTGAGGTGATGAAAATTTTCTAAAGAGTTTTTAAGAATGGTGATGGGTGCAAACTCAGTTTGGTAGTGTACAAATAGCAGAAATGGTCACCAAGAAACTCACCACAGTTTCAGAATTTCTGTTTGCATGGTAAAAATAAACCATCATTTTAATTTCTCTTTCCTCATAGCAGGAGTCTTAGACATTTCCCTCTTGTATGATATGTGTGTTTATATGTTACAAATATCAGGCATGTGATAGAAAAAGACTGATAAGGAATAAGTCAAAATATTTATTAATAAAAATTATCTCTTTTAGTAGTTATTTTTCAGTGGGATTTCAAATAACTTTTCCTTATAGTTGTTGGTATTTCTTAAATGTTCTACAATGAGTTTGCATCACTTTTGTAATTGGAGAAAAGTACATTTTGATGCTTTGTTTAATAAGCTACAGACTGCATAATTGCCTTTACTTTAAGGCTTCCCCTTTAGGGACTGACCCTGTAATGAAATTGTCGGTGGGTATTTCCATCTCGATGCCAACAAGACCAATACAAATTCATTAATACCATAAAAACAAATTAGTTTGAGTTTTTTGTCTGCATAACTGTCATGGTACTTCAAATGTCTTATAAAAATGGAATCATTTCAAACACATGGCTGACTTTTATACACAGCTTTCTCTTTATGTAGAATTGTCCGTATTTGTTTTAGGCCAGGGAAAAAGAAAGTCCCTGATGACATTTTGCAAATACCAGTTGATGATTTTCAAAATGATTTCTTTTTCCTAGAGCCAATTATATCCTTTGGAAGTCTCTAACCATCTGCAATCAATAAAAACAAACCTTATCTTAAACTATGGTTTTTTAAAATGACATTGCAGTACTCCACCTATTTTCTTGTGAGGGGGGAAAAAAAAAACCTCTGGTGTGACTTCCACATTCTGGGGCCAGACTGTATTTCTGTGTAGAGTCTATATAGGAAAGGGGCTAGGGTGGAGGGTGGGGAAGGGAGCGGATAGAGAGACTCACCATCAAACATTAATATATTAATAATAGGTAACTGAGTTAGCTCTGTTCCATTATTTTCAGGGTATATTAAATTGCATGACTAGAAACATTTGAAATATAGTCTATCTTACACTGGTGCTTCTTAATTTATATATAAATTATCTGGGTATCTGTTTAAATGTAGATTCTGATTCAGTAAGTTTGGGCAGAGCTAATTTCTGCATTTCTTATATATTTTTTTGGTATGTGTGTGTACACAAATGAAATAATATTATGCATATATGGACACAATGTTTAATGAAGAATACCTGGTATTACACAGAACTTTTTCATTTTATTTTTAATTCAGACTGTTCTAGGACTATAGCCTAATTCATAAAAAGGAGATACAAATTCCTGCTTAGAAATTTCCATGTGGCTGTGGTAGGCAGCCTCCAGGATGTCCCCCCAACAATTCCTACCTCTAGTCCTGACACTTCCTCCATTCCCCTCTCGTATTGTGCCAGGAATGGTGTGTGATGAACAGATGTGAGCAAAACAGATGCTGCGCCACTTCTGAGATTAGGTTATAAAAGACACTACAGCTTCCCTCTTGGGCTCTGTTGCATGCTCTCTGGAATCACTCACTCTGGGCCAAGCCAGCTGCCATGTTGAGAGCAGTCTCATGGAGAGGCCCATGTGATAAAAAACTGAGGCCTCCTGCCACTGACCACGTGAGTGAACTT